ACTTGTTGGCACAATGATGCAGTGGTTTGTACTATCACCGAGCTCAAACTTGCCAGCCAGCCAAGGCCATTCTGTGTGGCATTTGCATGCTCTCCCTGTGCCTGTGTGGGTTGTCTCTGGGTACTCTGGCTCTGTCCCACAGTTCAAAGATAAGCTTGTTAGGTCAACTGGTGATTCTAAATTGGCTGTGAGCATGAATACTTGCCCTGCGGTAGACAGGTGACTTGTCCAGGATATAACCTGCTTCATCCAAAACTTATCAGTGAAGAGCATTGCTTGTATAATTCTTGTATATAATTCTTATATATATATATTTTCTTGCATCATGTCACCAATTTTCAAAGTAAATATACTTGACATGGAATTCTCACCAACCATCCAAACTGCACGTGCAAAGAAAACAAACCTTTGTTGGTGATGACGCCTTTAAGATGCCCCCCTGTATGGAGAAACTAGTCACATGCATTGCTCAGGTGTGATTTTTACCCTTACTTATTGTACTTACAAAGATATATAGATAATTACATAGATAGATAGAATTATATAGATATAGATATAGATACACACACACAGAGAGATAAACATTTAAGTTAAAACATTATAAAAATTTATAGCAATGCATTTTAACTTATTTTCCAATATAAAGCAATAAAAGCATCCATCTGATACAACAGATGAACATAAAAACTGCTCGGCATTTGTTTGTGTTTACATGCTTATGTTTGGTCTGTCTAACTGTGCAAAACTAGCAGAATTTATCAGTAACAATAGGGGCATGACTTCCACGTGCATGTTTATACTGTTTTTGGAGCACAAAATTAGCATCTGTTTAAATAAAAACAGATGATCAAATAATAATTAAAACTTAGAATTAGACAATCACGGCAAGGAAAATAAACATTATTTGCAAATGAGTTAGACTGGAATACTAAATCATTCTTATGGCTGTTAGCTAAACATGAGGCATTTAGCTTTTTGATAGAAAAAGCAGTTATTTTAGCCACACAACAACATATCATTTTCACATGTTTACAGTTTAAAAAATGGGGACATAACTTATTACTAACTAGTAATGATTTTGAGTCCCTTTTGTTTTTGCTAATCCGGGCTTGCTGCGTTCCGATGCGTCCACTCTTTACGCTAATCCAAACTATGCTAAGCTAAGTATATGGCCCAGTCACTGTAGATTTATATTTAGAGTATATAGATATGGAAGCAGTATCAATATTCTCATCCAACTCTTATACAAGAGTTACTTGTTATACAAAAACAAGCTTATACAGAAATTTTATACTTTTTCTTTTAACTTGAACGACACAAAATAAGGCATGATGATGACAACATAAACTGCACTGTTGAATCATTGTTGACTAGCTTGCTGCAAAACAGCCTCAACAGTGACCAAATAAAAAGGTATGAGTGACTTGTTTCATCACAAGTAAAAGCAACTGAGTTTCCTGAGTAAAAGCCACAGTATTCGAAAATTGCTGGATCAAAGTATTGCCTGTAACGCTCTTCTTGAAATCAGTTGCAAACAGCGCTGGAAAATCAACCATGGAGCCGGTCCATGGCCTTAAGCTCTCTGTCTCCTTCTACCTAGTGATTCCATCACGGAGCTCAAGCAGTAATACGGTTGATGCAGTCCCTGCCCGGAGGGGGTAATGAAGTGACTAAGGGCTGACCGTTCCTGACCGCCAACAAGACAGCAGGTGTGAGCAGTGAGGAGTGTGAATATGTGTGTTATAGTGTATATGGGTGTGTTTGTGTATGAGTCTGTGTGTATTAGAGGGTATTAGATAGAGAGAGAGACAGAGATTGTGTATATGTTTTTTCACTATGAACTAGGTTCCTAATCATAAGTATGAATCAATTAGTTGGTCTAATCGGTACTTTTTCTGTCAGGCATGAAGAGAAAAGAAAAAACAACAAACTCACGTTTACGCTCGTCTATATCATCTTTAGTGCCACATCACTGCCATCTATCAGCCTCTTTTGCTCCCCTTTTCTCTTTCTAGTTCCAGCACTCTTTCATTTTCCTCCCTCTCTTCTCGTATCTATCCAAGCCATCTCTCCTTTAACACTACATTTATGCGCAGGCTTGGTAAACGGTAATCAATGTCTCACAATGGTGGACTGCTTCATCGAAACGATTTTTCAGGGGAGCTGTGTGTTTGTTCACGTGCATGTTTGTGTATGTGACAAAGGGTGAGATAAAAAGCAAGACATAGACTGAAGAAAGGAGAGACAGAGAAACTGAGCCATTGCTTGATGCACACACATCAGGCTTTTTATGTAAGTAAGCTTATATTTTGTGCATCTATGCCTGTTTGTGTTAAAAACACGTGTGAAAATTTCACACTGGATTTGGCACTGACTCCAGAAGCTCACTGTAATGCATTCACTTTTGGTACATAAATCACAATCAGCCTATCCTGCCATCTGGGTTACTGCTACATGGCCCTTGTAATGTACATGCTGGTTAGACCACCAGCTGAATAGTTAGACTACGAAAGCAGATATGTGTCTCTAATGGACAGTAGAATAGCAAATAAATTCCTTGAAGAAAATGTTTGGTATTCTGCGTGTGTGTGTGTGTGTGTGTGTGTGTGTGTGTGTGTGTGTGTGTGTGTGTGGGTGGGAGGAAGGTGGGGTACGTATTCCTGTATATCAGATCCTCTTAAAACTGTTTAAACAACCTTATACAAAATAAAATCACAAAGCCCACAGTCACTGCATGCATAAGATAGGTTCAGTTGATAAAGCAATTTCACAATTACAAATAAATAATTAAAGCACACAAACACACACACAACCTCCAGATGCTGCAGCAAGTGGAAAATTTATTCCAACATGGCAGAAAACTAGTAAGCCCCCTGATTAATGTTTAAAGTAATGACTGAATAGTTAACTGTTTAATAAATCTCCCTGAACTTGCGCTGATCTCTACTCCAACCGACTGCCATCCTATAATGTAACTTCTGAAATCAATTTTTCAAACACAGGGTCAATAAAGGTCACAGCCCTCACCTAGAGGTCCTGTCTCTTTGACAGATTCCTGTACAGATCAGCATCTAATTGGAAAATTAAAGTAATCGATTGGCTATTGTAACGACAGGCATTTCTCTCACTTTCTCAAACACCAATTAGGTGTGGATAAATGGTAAACTGAGGCCTGTCTGAAGTCTCACAAATACACACACTCCCCATGTACATGAACGGACGTACGTATACGTGAAGGCACATTTCCAAACACACTAATATATACAGTCAAGAATGTAGACACCCTTAAGGAGTAAACTTAACCAATCTAACCTTAGCCAAGGTCACAGAGTAATATCCTAGCTTAAAGTGTACTGTAACCCCACGGTCACAAATCATATTCAGCAATATGAAGCACACACACACACACACACACGAGTCCTCCAGTTGGGAACAGGTTGTATTTCATCCAGATACCAAGATGAAGGGTCTGCCTTCCTACAAAACAAATATTAAGCTGGCATGGAAAAAATCTGATCAATCTTGTAGTTGTGAAGTACTTACAGTATAATGCGTCCAAAATTGTGGGAAGCAGCAAACACTAGATTGAGCTAACATTTGCCTGTCTCTTCAGGGACTGTTTCATGAGAATAACAAATGTCAAATAATATTTAAGCAAATCTAAATGCCATGTGGACAAATATTTTGGAAGGCTGAGCAAAATAAATCAATTTAAAAGAAGGCAACAAAGCACAGCGAAAGGTTGAGAGGGAGAGGAGCAGAATTCTCAGTCAGTAACTGCTGAGATGTGCATGTTGCAGGAAATTTGGATCTTGTCCAGCAGAATGTGTTAAACAAACGAGATAGAAATTGCGGCTGATGCTAATTTGATTTGTGAATATCTATTAGATCCACATGAAGACTGAAAATTATTAAAATATCAAATATAAATGAGTAAACCCAAAGTAATTGGTAGTAATAGGAAAAAAGAAAATGAAAGGAAGGATACAAAAAAGGGACAATGTTACATTTGCAAGAATGAGACTTTTGTTTAATGAGACTAAAATATTTTAGTCTACATAACTATCAGTGAATGTTCATCCCAACATTACTAAGATAAGAGTTGTGGTTTGTTTGTTTGTTTATTTTGTTAGTTAGTTAGATGTTAGAATGCTTTTAAGTCAGCATCCATTCAACAGCATGGCTTTAGTGCACAGTGGCACGCATCCAACTTCCCCAGATGCATCCTGTTGGCGCATCAAGTGGCTGCAGTCCTCGGAAACCCATCTCAGTGTGCAGGAGGTGCGTGCAGTCGTTTTGCCCCCCTCCCCACCTCTAGGTTATTTCATTTTGTTAGGCTTTGTGTTGTTGCTTCAAGGCTGATGTGCATATACACAGTTAGACTGTCTATTCCTATGACTACTACAGTCAGTTGCGGTTTGTACCATTAAAAATAGAATTTTCCACAACCATTCACCACGGAATCTATGCACACAGTATAGTCCACTACCTCTCCCCAATTTCACCGTGAAGATGTTGCTACAAATCCATGCGACGAAATTGTGAAGATGCAGTTTTGTCCCAGAGTGAGTGACCAATTTCGGGCACAGTTTTCGGATCTACCGTAACCTTGCAATCGTTAAGAGTAGTCTGATTACTATTTAAATCACTGCATGTGATCAAAATCGCGACTGTGTCCTGCGCAGCGCTTATTACCAAGTGCTTGACAAATGTTAAATGTGTGATAAGTGTCAACAAGTTAGCTGGCGATGTTCAACCTTCAATTAAATACATTTATTATTAAAAAATGCAAAGGCTCTAATTTCCTCTATCAATACATGTGCACGCACACAAACACAGTATTATAAGAACAAAAATCCACAGTACATTTCTGCAGTTCCCTCGTATTTGCTCCTACAGTTAAAAGGCAAAGGGCATTTTCAAAATCCAACAGAAATGTATGTTACAAGAGCGTGCCAGCGCACGGTGAACTTTCTCATTAAATTAAAACAAAGTCCTACCTTTGTTATCGCGTGGCGAGAACAAATGCCTTTGCCTTGACAAGTTGCAGAGGGACACGGTAATGGTTATTCAGCTTGGCGCTTCTCCTGCAATCAAAGGTAAACGATTCCTTGTCAGATGAAAATCAGAGGGACAGACGCTCCGCTCGCCCTGTCTGCCACCGCGCTGCGCGTCTGGAGTCTCTGTTCCGATGAGCGCAGAGAGAGCAAAGGCAAAGCCGCTCTCGGAACGGCGCGGTATGGAAAGCCCCTGGTGGTGATGAAGGGAACCTACCAATGAAGCGGACGAGAGAAACGGAAAGAGAGAGAGAGACAGGAGATGAGAGAAAGAATTGGGGACCGATGGGGGTCACTGGAAGATAAAGTAAACAAGGCGTGCTCGTTTGACCTCTATATTCATGTAAACATATTGAATGTCATAAAGACGGATACTGTCTGGCCAAAAAAGAACACCACAAAATGGTATGAGCACTGTACATTGTGCATCATTACTACCATTACAATTCCAGTCCACAGACAGAAGACAGTTGCAGGGGTTTGCTTGTAAGTTCCAGCAATGAGTGCTGAAGCAAAAACTAAAGTCGTGACTTTCAAACTAAAGGCTTTTGCTGTATGAGAAAAGTTTTTGCAGCCTGCTGTGTGGTTTATTATCAAAATTTGCCATTTTGTTCTGCATTCCTCAAGCCCATAATGCACCTTTATTCCTTGGTGGGAAGTTTAGAAAAGAGCAGATTGTGATTTTGTGTGTGGGGAGTGAGACAAATGGAAGCATCATAGTTTTCAGCTTCAGTAGGCCTAGAGAAACACAGTACTATTTTTATGACCAGCAGGAGTGGTAGAAAACAACAACAAAAGGAAATGAAGAATTGCTTGAGAACAATGGACTGTGTTACATTATCTGGAGGTGGTATTCAGATAAATTTTCTTTGGGTATTTGAGAAGGTGAAAATGTCAAGTATGCCCGCTCCCTTGAAGTGGTTCACCTGTTAATCAGAGTGTGTGTGCCAGTGAAATATGCAGTGAGGGACAAGAATGAGACACAGGGAGAGCGCATGAGAAAAAAAGGGAGAGGTGGAGGGATGGTTGGGGGTGGGGGGTACAGGTGCAGATTACCTACCATCACAACAAGCTGGCATCTCTCTGAGGTGCAGTGAGTAAGGTTAGGAAGGTTAGGGAGCTGATGTACCAACAAGGGTTTTAAAAGCTAGTGTGCAGAAGCTGTTCTCTGAGAGGTGCTAAATAAAGGAAGGTAGATTCAGAGAGCAAGAGAGAGGAGGGGGTTGCTGGAGAAAAAGAGATAGAAAGGTTACATTCATTGTGACTCAGGATTTTATGATGACCAAGTGGAGAATTGTTTTGACTCATATGAGTTTTTAAATGCTTTAGGAAGTAGGGTGTAATCATTGCCAACAAGCAGTCCTGTGAAACTGCAGTCTGTCATTTTTGGCCATGGTACATAGTACTGATCCACTTCATTTTTTAGAAGTTTATTCATTGACACAACCAAATGTTTGGTGATGATGTTCATGGCATTTTGGCACTTTCGTAGCTATCATGTATGGTACCAACTGTCATTTGCTGGACTGACTGCAGTTCACGAGGAAGTGCTGGTCATTTGGAGGCATTTGGAGTGAGAGTATCTGCATGAACATTAGAGGCGCTGTATGCATATAATAGGTGCTCTATGCTTGTATGCATGTGTTTGCATACATTCAAAAAGTGCTCTATAAATGCTTGTCCATTAACCACTTAATCTGACATAATTTGCTATTTCCTTAAAAGTTTTGTTTAATCAGTGTTTATCCCTTATAATCTTTTATAAGCCTTTACACAGCGCTTCATTATACTTGCTGTCCCTGGTCATTTTACATAGCCAGCTCTTGGGGTGGAAGTGCTGACTAAGGACAGGTCTCTTGAATATTACATTTTTCCTCAGCAGCGAGGTGTTGAAACACTGCCCATGCCTATCGCTCAAGCCCATAATGGGAACCGGAGACCAGCAGCTACAAACATAAATATCGGTAGATATAGTACTGTAAGACACCACCAGCAGCCAATCAATACATGGCAGTGAAGGGGTTGGCAGGGAATAAGAAAAAGCAATGAGAAGGAGGAGGTTAATGGGTATCCAGGTAAAAGGTCCATAGAAGATAACATTAGTGTTACCCCGATATTCCACCAGAACTTGACTATGAAACATTGATAAATGACTCAAAGAAAAGCACTAATCAAATATCGATAATAAAGGTAGTTCACCCTCCCCCACTCATAAGTATTTTAACCATCTGTTTGCAGCATTCTAATTGTGCTTCCAGTTCCTTTTGCACTGTCATAAAACCAATAGTCATTTCTCCCAATAGAAAGAGACCCAGATGCATTGATGTTCCTAATTTATGTATGCAAAGAAAAAAAAAACCTTTCTCTACATTGTTAATAAAGTGAGTGTTTCATGTACAGCACAGAGGAGCTACTTGCCATATCATCAGTATGTGCTCTAATATGGAGCAGGCTCAGTGTAAGCTGCTGCCAAATCAGAATCATGGACTCCATCTGAATTCCTTAAGAAGGCTAAAGGAAAGATATTATTTTTCTGCCCGACTAACTGACTGTAAGAGATGGCTGTTTTAGCAGAATGGAAGGCTCACTGTTTTCAAATATCATGCTGTGAAAAACTGTGTAAGGCCCCACAAATACTAACTGTGCTCCCCATGTGTGATCAGTCTCAGTCAAGCAAGCAATACAAGCTAGTTAAAGCTAATTTGATCATTTCTAAAACAACAATAGCGCACAGATGTCATCCAAGGAAGAATGTGAGCTACTGTGCATACTGTACTGAAGAAGGAACAAAGAAAGCAAGAAAGAAGCAGGAACTGGAACTGTTTTTAATGGTGGTGTGAAGCCAAATGAAAGTAGCAATCTGTTAGCTGTTTCATGCTATAGTGAGTGTAGCTCCATTTGTTTGACTACTGCACATACTTGCAATGTATCAAGACTTTTCAGGTCAGTGTAATCATTCTTTGCGGCTGGAAGCAGCTGCATTCATGTAGTACTGCAGTGCATGAATGCAGCAACTTCTTCTTTGGGAAATAGTTGCTTCAGAGGTGATTCCAAAACAGTTCCATGGACAGCTCCTCATTATCTAATGGAAGACTGCAGGAGACCAGCTTCAAAAGCTGATCCCAAATCAGGGGAGGGAAAGGAATGGAAAGGAACTTTTTAAATAAGACTATAGGAGAGAACTGCTTCAAAGTGGATCTCATATTAAGCCCCATGGACAATTCATGATTTTCAAATGGAAAACTGTAGGAGAGAGCAGCTTTAAATCTGATCCCAAGTCAGCACAGTGGACAATTCCTCTTTCTTTTCAAACATAAGACTTTGGTTCAAAACTGCTTCAAAATCAGTTGGATTATTACTTAATTTTTTAAACAGTAGACTGCAGGGGAGAACTGCTTCAAAGAAGACCCCATATCAGCCCCATGGACAACTTGTCATTTCCAAATGGAGTATAGAGAAAGCAGCTTTTAAACCCAATCCCAAATCAGCACCATGGACAACTCCTCATTTCCGAGCAGCTGACTGTAGGAGAGACTTGCTTTAAAGTGGATTCATATCTGCTCAATGGACAATTCCTCATTTCCAAACAGAGGAATATGGGAGTGTTGCTGTAAAATTAATCCCATATCGGCACCTTGGGCAAGTCCCTTTTTTTGAAAAGGCCTACTATGTGGATAAAAGCTGCTTTAAAGCTGATCCCATATCAGCATCATGGACTGCATAATTCATACAGCCTCCCTCAACCAAACAGAATTTTTCTCTCTCTCTTATAATGGTATAGGAAGCATAGAGTTGTAACAAACGGTAGTGACTTTTTTATTCTCCATGGTGTGTTCCCTCTGGGTGGCCACAGTAGCCTACTTGATAAAGAAGGTAAGAAGCGATGTTTAAAAATTGAAAACATATATTTCAAATTCTCTTTATTGAAAAATGACTCTAAGAAGATGTTTAAATTAAAATATGCGTTTGTAAGCCAGGTAAAGTATCTTTAAAGAACAGATTCAGGTTAAAAATTTGAAAGCCCTTAGCGATCCAAGATCAGATCATGAATGTGGTTAGCTATTCTTATAATTCAATTTATACAAAACTTTCATCAGTAAAAGGTGCGCAAAAAGAGTTGGACAAGTAAAGGCACAGCCAGTAGCAGAAGAACAGATGCAAGGAAAGACATATAAAGTAGACGGTGGCTAGAGGGTAGGCTTCAACATGCAGACACAGTGTTTTAAAAAAGTCTAACGCATAAAGAAATAGAAATGTAATAAAATTGCATCTGAAGAACAAAAGCACCAAGGACTATGAAGATGTTTTTAACCAAACTTTAAACAAAGCTTGCCAACTTTTAGAAATAAGCAATATTGTTTTCTTACAGCACAACATAACACACCAACTCCATCACTTTTTTTTTTAATTTAATAAAGATTTGTCTGTGCGGTGTGTCAAATTAGGGTGGCTTTGACTCATTGAAGGTTCTCTAGCCATTGCAGGGCCATTTCAATTCAATTTAATTCAATCCAATAAACTTTATTTATCCCTGCAGGCAAGTTTTCATGCTGGATAAAAATACATTAAAACAACACACTTGCAATGAATATAAAGAGTCACCAAACTCACAGAACACTCGGCTTAACAAAAAAGAGCTCTAACTGTTTACATACATACCCCAAGATTACCAAAATATTAATTTTAGGGTACATGCAGTACATATGTTAATAAGAGATTCTAATGTGGATATGTTAGGGGAGGTTTTGTCACACACAAGCAACAAAGACAATGTAACACTGGGAGGTAAAATAAAAGGGTGGGTGCTATTCTCAAACATTAGCAAATTCCTGAGGTCTCATAAGAAATTAAACCACAGAAGCTCATACAATGTGGATTAAAAGCAACCTGGAACCTGCTCTGCATCTCCTCTCTAGCTACGCTCTATCAGATTCTATCAGATCTATCTATAGTTGAACTAGAACATTTT